TGTTCTATTATTTTGCTATTATGTTACTATTATGTTACTTATATTGACAAACCTCCTGTTATTTTACTGTTATTCTGTTATTATGCTGCTGTTATGCTGCCATTATTTGGTGGATATAGGGTAGAATAATGGCAGATTTTTTTTTCTGTTATTTATCTATTATTCACTCTTTATTTATTTGTTCAACCTGTGTTGTTTAACAAACATGTCTATCTTCTATAAAAATTTATCTCAAATGAGCTATTTCACATATGCAAGAACTCTTTATAAAATTTGTCAAACTTATTGCCAAGTTTACTCTACAGGTTTTTATGAATATTCTCTTAAATATGAAATATACATAAAAAATGACATGTTATAGGTAGTTTTAGAGAAATGGCTTTGCTTAATGCTAGATTAGTATCAGAAAACAAAACTACTAGTAGTGCATTATTTGTTGCATTTAAAAGGCACTCAAGAAACTATTCATATGATTTGGTAGTTTCATCATTAGACAATGTTTGAGCCATCAGTCTACTCTTCATATTATTATTGACAACTACTAGAAGAGTAAGATACATATCAAACCAATTCATTTGACATGTATTGTCAGTTTATACAATATTATTATAATGTGTCAGGCATTGTTGTTGTATTGAGAACATCCAAAACAATCCCATAAGCCAATTATCATATAGGTCTACTTTAATATTGACAGTCCAACTTGGTTCTTGATGTTTTAATTGCAACAAATTATCAATGAATTGTTGTGCTTTCCTCTGACATTAATTGAGTGGTCTTTTAACTTTTTGGACAGCATTATAAAGATCATATTTATTAATAATATGATTAGAAGATTCAACAGTTAAAAGAGGCAGCATTTGCTTAGATCCCATCTTTCTTTTATAACATAAAATTTTATTTTTTCCAAGATTTCAGATGACAATTTTCTATACTTTGAAGTGTATAATGCAACATCAAGTTGCATCTGATGGTTATGTTCTTCTATTATACTTATAATAATTATAACTACAGAATCTTTTGGTTTTGATAAATTTATATGCCATAAACATGATATCTTTCTAAAACATCTATTACACTGCTGCGAAAGATCAACTACTTGATTTCTAACACTTTTACCAAAATGTGTACATTTAAATATACGTCTTCTAACCTTGTCATCATTATTAATTGTTTCTCTTTTTTGATATAAAGAAAACCCTACAGCTTTTGTATAACTATTAAGACATGTCTTAGCTATATCCTATGACAAGAATGAAGCCTCTACTGAAACTTGATAATCCTGTTCATCACTTTGATCTACTTCTATTATTTCACTTATTTCTGAAGTTACTAACTCTATGTTTATATCATTTGTAGTTTCTAAATTTACCAAAGAGCTGTCTAAAGATTCTAATGGATATATATATAAAAGCTTATAATGGTAACATTTTAATAACAAAAAATAGTTAGAAATAATACTATCAACTCACTCTTCATAATTATGATTCCTCTTATAAATGTGCAGCTGGATATATAATGAAAAAATGTAATACAACAATCAAGTGACATAGCACACTGAGAGAAAATTCACCAGTAGAAAAAGCAAGAATGCAAATGCACAACACATTACTAAACTATTAAAAAAAGTTAACACCAACAAAAAAAATAGTTACTGGTGAAATAAGTGAGCAAATTTGTGTTCAAAATAAATTAGAAAAGCCTATTCATAATGCAAATGGTGATAAAAGAAGTGTTATAGGGATTAATTAATATTATATCAATACTAAATTCTCACCCAAACATTTTAATTGTATCATTGCGCACTTGCTGTACTTTTATATTAGCATTTATATAAGCTCCAGAGCCAATGCTCTACCACATCACCTTTCTTCTACTTTAAAGTCTTATCGCAATAAAGTTCCTACAACAGGTAAATTTATTCAAGCACAAACTAAAGTGGGAGTTCAATTTATCTGATCGATTCTTTTATTTATTTAATTTCATCAGGTGAAATTACATCATTGATTACTACTAATTACTAATTGACTTTCTAATTAAAGATCAGTTATACTCATGTTCCAGACTGCACTTTATATGCAACCAATTAGAACCTGACAGGAAGCCAAGGTAAAAAGAGAAAGACAACAAGAATGCACAAATGCATGACATGACTCTAAACTGTAAAAAAAAACTTTAATACAGTAGCAAAAAAACACACTTACTGGTAAAATAAGCAAGCAAACAAATTCATGATTGTAGCAAATTAGTAATGCAAAATGCAAACAATAGAGTAAAGATAAGCAAACTACTAGTAAGCTGTTAAATAGAAGTTAAATAAGATTCATTATCATGCATTACATGTATCAGATATATATATTACATGATTATGGTGATCATCACCATGGATTATTTTGATTATAATTCATTATTATAATTCTTAAATTTTACAAAAAATAAAAAAATTAACTTTTTCTACCAATTACCAAAACACAAAACTTACAAAAAAGAAAATAGAGTTTTATATAAAAATTAGTATTAAAACTATCTTTAAAGACTTAAACAAAAAGAAAGAGTATCTAAAACAGACTTAGTAGGTGCAACAATAAAGAAGAATAAAATATAGCAAATAAAAGTAAACAGACTTAATGAAATGAAAACCAAAAAGAATTTTTTTTTGGAAAAATAGTATTAACCTTGAATCACAGATTATTTTGAAATACATAAACATGTGAGAAGACAAATAAACAAATATATACAAAAATAGACAAGATAGACATATAAGTATTACAAAGTACACATGATAAAAAGGATCTAAAAATAGTTATACAAACACAGCCAAATGTTGATGCAATAAAATCAGAGAAATCTATGACACTAAAATTAGTAAATGAAAGTGCAGAAGCAATATTAAAACTCATAAATAGGAAAGAGTTAAAGCAAGAATTAGCAAATAGAGATAACCACTTCAATGTAAGAAATATAGTTGCAGCAGCACTATAGAAAATAGACTTAATAGAGATAATAATACTAAGAAAAATATATGAAACAATAATCAAAGTAGATATAAAAAACCTAACTAGTACAGAAAAATAGGCAGAAGAGATAAATTGTGTAAGCCAACACCCAATAGCAATAGAAAATATGAGTAGTAAGAAAAGTCAGACAATGCAGAGAAAAAAACTAATTATATCAGAAATGTATATAGAAAAGATAAGACAAATGACAGAAGCAGTAGATATAGTAATGAATAAAAATAAATCTTGACAGAGCACAAGTGAAGAAAAAAAAGAATGACAAAAAAAAAGAAAGAATAAAGAAGACACAGAATACACAAAACCAGTAGCAGAAGTAATAACAATAGACAAATATGTAGAAGAAGAAATTAAAGCATTAAAGACAAACATAATACAGCAAGATTGCCAAAATACAGTATAATAGCAGCAATTAGAAATCAGAAAGAAAAAAGAAAGAAATGAAACTATAAATAGAGAAAAGCAACTTTATAGAGGCATCACTAGAACAAAGCATATAGTTACTCTCAAACAAAGATTGTAGCAAAGAAACAACATATGCAGCAAAAATACTAGCATACAACATGCTAGGCAGCTCAAAAGAAGAATAAACAAAGTTTGTAAAAAGACTGTTTGTGTCAAACAGACAGGTTTTAGAAGTTAAAGAAGTCTTCAAAAAGAGTAATGCTTGGATTATAGTCACTTTTAACTATAAATATAGCAGAGAAGAAGTGATTAAAAAGATCTAAAAAAAATATAATAATTGGTTTAGAATAATCTCTAACACAAAAAAATATGAAAATAAAAATGAAAATAAAGAAAAGAGAAAACAAAAAAAAAAGAAAGAATAATGAGAGAAAAGAAAGATACAAAAGAAAAAAAAAGAATAAAAGACAAAATAAGAAGTCAAAAAGCAAGAAATACAGATACATAAAACATAAAAAACAAAGAAACCTCATAATGCTTACTGTATAGGACTTACCAAAGAAAATCTCAGAGCAAGAGGTTAAATATTTGATAAGTAGGAGATATAGTCTTATACAAGATAAGAAGAAGTACATATAGAATGATAACAGTAATTAAAGTAAAGAAAGAGGTAAAACAAATATTCTCATAAGTAATTGCATTGAGAAATAGAAAACTAGCAAAAATGACAATAGGTAAAAAAGAAGAAGAAAGAAAAGAAGAAAGAAACTGCTTTATAGCAAAACTAAAAAGAATATCAAAAAGTGTATCTGAACTGATTCTTCTAAGAGAACTTAAGGTTAGAAAGGCAATAGCAGTATACATATCATCAAACAGATAGAGAAAACCAAGAAACTATACAGTAGTAATATTTAAAAGCAAAACAGAAATGAACATAACCACTAGAAAAAAAGTTTGGTATAATAGAGTTCTAATGTTCTAGAAATTTAAAGGGCAAAAAGATAACAAGAGTATATGAAGGTAGCTGTAAAACACAAAAAACACAGAAAGAAGAGAGAGAGATACAAGAAAACATAAGCTTTAAAGAAGAATTAGAAGATGCTGAAGATTTGATAAATAAATACAAAAGAAAAATAGTGTTAAGAGAAGACAAAAGTAATTGGAAAAGTAAAAACTATAGAAACAAGATACAAAATAAAGAAAATATAACAACCAAAGACAAAAATCAAGAAAAATAAAAGAAGAAAAAGGAAGCCCAAACTCAGCTACAAGAAAGAACCTTATATGTTAAAGACATTTTAAGCCTAATACTAAAGAGATTAGAAAGGCTAGAAAAAGATAAAGAAAAAAATAGAATAGACCAACCCAACTGTTTCTAAGGTTGCTACAGTTGAACTAATAAATATAGACAAGAAGATTAAAAAGTTCTTATGAAAAAAAAGAGAGGTATTTAAAGAAGAGAAAAAATAGATGCTCCTTGTCAAAAAAAAGAAATGTGAAGTAAAAAGAGAAAAAAAATTAAAAGTATAGCAACAAAATAAAGATTACTAAAAGAAAAATAAAAAGAAAGTAAAAAAGAAATAAGGCTAGCATGTCACAATGTTAATGTACTTAAAACCAAAGAATGGAAATTGAAAAATTTGCTTAGCTAAACAGAAGAAGAAGAAATTACAATAATGAGAATTACAGAAACAAATCTTACAAAGAGAAAAAGAAAATTTCTAATGCATACAATAAACACAAGATATGTAAGATTTTGGACAAGTGCAACTAAGAATAAGAAGAAAGATTTAGATATTAGAATTATAATTGATGAACAATAGGAAATGCATATAGGTGCTGCCAAAAAAATGAGTGAATATATAATAGAAATTACAATATACTTTAAACAATTGGAATTAGTAATGATTGCAGTCTATATACCATCAAATGACAAAATAATAGGAAAAAACATTTAGCAAAAAATTGTAAAAATAGTTCTAAAAAGAAAAAAATAAATACAAATTATTGTAATGAATGATTTCAATCATACAGTAAACAATATCTTAGACAGATAACACCTACAAACAACAAATTATAAAAGACTGCTAATCTTCAACTGAATAAAAAATCAAGACTTTAGAGATATATATAGAGACATAAATCTAACAAGTTAAAAATACACATAGTCAAATAGAGAAGTAGCAACAAGAATTGATTATATATAGATATCAGAAGGATTAGCCTCAGGTTTACAAAAAGTAAAAATTGAAGAAGTAGAAGAGATTACAAAAAGTGATTACAGAATAGTAATGGCAAAAGTATAGATTAAAAATATAGTAGCAAAAAAAAGCAAAACAGAAATTAAAAGAAAAAAACAGTTAAGAACTATATACTTGTATAACTAAGCAAAATTAGAAGTTTGGAAAAATTATATGCAGGAATTATAAAACCAACTAGAAAAAAAAGAGAAATTAAAAGATATTCACAAAAAAGAACAAAATAAAGAAAGAAAAACAGAGAAGATAAACAACATATAGGACATAATAAAAGAAGCAATTATTATAGCAACAAATAAACATATATCTAAAAAAAAAGTATATAACAAAATAACAAATAAAAGAAAAAGTCAAAAAGAACAGCAATAAGAAGAAAACATTGTTAAGCTTCAAAAATTGATTAAATATGTGAAAACAAAAAGAACTCAAGCAGTAACAAAAGAAAAAAGAAGTAAAGTAAATAAATATTTAAAAATACTAGACAAGAAAATAGAAGCAAAGTTACCAAAATTACAAAGTTAATAGTCAAATACATGGATAAAAGATATGAAGAATTGGAAAAAGCTATTATCAGAAAAGAAAAAGAAAGACCAGAAACAAGTACAAAGAAAACAAATAGAAAAGAATATAGTTAAAAAATATAAAATGATTAAAACAGACCAGAGAAAGATAATAGCTAGTCTCTTGAATAGGCCTTATAAGAAAATAGTACTCA